AAAGAAACAACATCCTTTGGATGCTTGTATATAATAAGTTAAATACTAGCTTGTTCTACTGGATTACTATCTAACTGATATTATAAAAAATTTCAAAAGAAATACTAAAATATCAGATAATGAAGTAGCATTTATGCCTATCTACTTAACAAAATTTTATGAAATCTTTTGATTTTTTGAATATAAAATAAATGAAAAGAAAATAACAAATATAATTAAAACTAAAATTAAGTTAAATAAACCATAGAATCTATAAGTAGAAATTCAATTATTTCATCAAGAGAGCACTAGACAAGTGTGTGGTTCCATCTCTCTGGCTTCTTGATTACTATAGATAAAAGAATACATATTATATTACTTGTTATTATAGTTATTGTTATTTACAAAACCAGTTTGAACACACTTGGTTTTTGTTTTGATTTTTATGCAAAATTTAATTAAAGAATTATAGGATATTGATTATCTGGAAAGATAAATTGATTTTGGTTTTTTGATTAGATAAAAATGTTATAAAAATTATAATAACATAACAAGTATTACCAGAATATTGTGATTGAGGATTGATTTGAAACAAATAATAGATTCACTAATTCTGTTTGAGTATGTACTATAAACAATATTTGACTTAGTAAGTATAATAGTAATAATGTGTATAGTTTTTACAATAGAGTAAAGTTAAGAAGAGGTATAGGAGAACAGCAGAATAGAGAACTGTCATAGGTCTTTTCTTATGCAACTGAAGAATAAGCAAGACTCCCAAACTTGAATAAACTTTGACCAAGGTCTCATTCTATTGTAACAGTTATTTTGAAGGTTTTTGAGTTCTTGAGCTGGGTTCACTTGTAATAAAAAGTGTAAAACATTTTTTCTTGCTTAAAATTACTATAAAAAGAAAATTTTCAACAAAACGAATACAATTAAAAGTGAGTTTTTAATAATGGTAATAAAATATATATTCTTAAAATAATAACAATAATAACAATAATATTTAATTAAAATATTTAAATTGATATTATATATTTAATAAATAAAAGTTTGTATTTAAAATAATTAATGGTAATATATTTAAATTAATATTATTAAAAATTTAAAAACTATAACTTTTTATATATTTATTAGAATTGATTTTTCTTATTATAGAATAGTAAAAATTAATTAAAGATTTTGAATTAATAAAATTAAATATAAAAAAAAATATTAAATTATTATAAAATTAATATATATTTTATGAAAAATATAATTTTAATTTTAAAACAATTTAAAACGATACAATATCAATTCTTTAATAATTAATTAAAAAAATTAACTTACAAAAAACAATTATCAACAAGTTAACAATTTGATATTGTCCTAATTATTTTAATAAGTAATAAAATTATTTGTTATACATTTTATAAAATAATTATAAAATTTTAAAAAATTATTTCAAAAACAATTGATTAAAAAAATTAAATTAATATTTTAAAAAAAATTAGATAGATTTGTAAATCTATAATATAATGATCAATACTTTTATTTTTATCACAAAATATCAAATTCATTTCATATAAAGTCAAGTTGGATTGATTTAAAGATATTAAATGTTATAATTTGTTAAATATCATTTTCTATGTAAAGTTATTTTTATTTTGATTCAGCAGGTATTAGAATTGTAATATTAACAAGAAATTGTAATATAATGATTATTTAGTTGACATTATATTAATAATTGTCAAGTTTAATACCTTTTTAATTTTCTTTTTTTATAGTAAATAAGGCTATTAAAAATTTGCATTGAACCTTGATGAAGTAAATAGACTTTTTACATGTCATGTCACAACTGATAATATTATGATCAATTTTCTAAATTTGATGTTATCGATAATAACACTAGAACTAAAGATATAGGATTAGATATGTTGATTATTTCCTAATTATATTACTATTCTCTTATTTTAATTCGGTACTCATCTAATTAAAAATTATGGAATATTTTAGAGAGAAAAGCTCGTGCACAATCAGAGCAAACTATAAACAAAACAAATTAATAATTACTACTGTAGTATGCCTCGTAAAGTTGCTGCTATTATCGAATCAAGATCAAATATAATTAATATAGATAGATAGCATTTATTCTATTAAATAAAATAATCTTTTGCTACTCCAAGTTTATTTTGTGACTACAGTATCGAGAATTATTATTTTAAAATTTGTAATTTCTCATCATTCTGGACGCAAACTTTTCTTCACCCAGTGTAGATAACGTTAAGGTATTTCTGCAGTTACAAAATGAATAGTACCTCGAAAAATACATTCATTGTTTTCCAAACTTGATGAGTAAACAAATTATTCCCTATACTTCGTAAACCTTAATTCCATCTTGTCATTGTTTAAAGTTAATATGTCGCCGACATAATATATGCTGTAAAAGCATTTACAGAGTTACTGTATACGTAACATTTTGAAACAAATTTTTTTCATGAACTGAATCTCGTCAAAGGACAATGATCAAACAATTTATCGTTTAATGCATCCAAGAAAGTCAAGATATGTACGCACGTAAACGAATTGATGGGTAAACAGGTTTATCCGGATCACACAGTCCGTACGCAATGTAACACGATGGTCCGTATATTGAACTTTGTACGTAGATACACCGGAGTTCTTGGATAACTCCGACCTACTCTTTGATGAAGAATGAATATAGTAGTATAATTTGTGATACACAAACAATGCGATAAATTATATTTAATCCTTTAGTCACCTTCCATTTCATTGTATTTAAATCACGAATACATGGCTGGTGTAATTGTTGATGTTATTTCCATCGTTGATATTGTATTCCGTGAAATATGTGAATTATCCGAGAAAGCGGGGCACAACAAAAAAGTTTGTAGGAGGCTAACGGAGCGTATACGTGTAGCGACTAAAAACTTAAGAAACATAAGAATAGAGGAAAATGACACTGCCCTGAAGAATTACATAAAAGCATTAGAGGATGCTAAAGATTTCATTAAAGATATTAGCGAAGCTAGTACGTTGATGAGATTGATTAAGGCTAGAAAGGTAATTTCGAATTTTCGAAAATTACGCTTTATGTACTTTATCAAATTTAAATATTTTTGATTGTCTAATTTGTTCGAATAACAGATTGAAACCGATTACAAAGACGTTACAGAAGAATTGGATAACGCTATCGCGCAATTGGGTCTTAATCAATGCACACGAACGCAACAAAATATTGAGGAAGACCTAAAGCTGTTTCATTCCGAAATAAAAACATCGTTAAGTGTTATTGAAGAAGTCAATAAGCATGTATGGGAAAAAGGAATGAACATTGAAGAAAAGGTAGACCGGATTGAAAAAAAATTGGATTGCATCAATCAAGCAAATAATAGTGTATATAAAGAGGGGGAAATGTCGTCGAACCTAGAGAATTCTAAAATTCCTGACTCTCGAATTTCCCATTGCGAAGAGTCGGATGAAGAGATTACTCGAGGTGGAGGTCAGATAGTGAAAAAGACCCTATGCGGTGTTTACACCGTTGCTCAAAAGGAAATCGGTCACATTGGATCTCTACCGCGACCTTCAAATGTCATTGAGAAACAAGTGGCTATTTTGACAGAATTAAAAAGTTGCGAAAATATCATAACATTGTAAGTTGTTTTACTTTACCTTTAAGATCTATTGTAAATCTCGTCATGTTAATTGTGTATATATTACAGTTACGGTACTGTACAGCGCTCCGGTAAATTATACATTATTTCAGAGTGGGCCGAAGAGGGTGATCTTTGCCAATATCTAAAAAGGAACAAGAATTTAGATTGGAATTTCAAATACAGAATTGCTTCCGAGATCGCGAGTGGCTTGGCGTTTTGTCACTTTTACAACATTTTACATCACGATATAAGAAGGTTCGAAAACTGTGACTTGTTCTGTGATTAAGTTGCATTTATTCACAGCAACGGTTTTTTTACCTACCTTTTCTTTTCAAACATTTAGTCACAACATTTTGTTGACGGCAAGAAAAACCGCAAAACTTAGTAATTTTAATTCTGCTCGTAAGGAAACCGACGAGTCAACACAAGTAAAGGACATCACTCACAGATACAGGTATACCTCGGCTTCTCGTGCAATCTAAATAATGTATAATTTGACATATTCACTTATTTTTCTCCAAACTTCAGGTGGCTAGCTCCAGAAAAGCTTTCAGATCATAATAGTGAATATACCAAGCAATGTGATATCTACAGGTATATTTAAAGTAGTCACCTAATTTATTACTGTAAAAGACAATAACTGAATTGAAGTTAATTTATATTCTAAAAAGTTTCGGAATAGTACTTTGGGAACTCGCGTCACAGCAAGAACCATTCGCTGACGTCACGGTTGCTAAAGAATTGATTGAGAAGGTTTCTGTTAATAAAGAACGTCCTCCTAATGTGCCAGACACAAATCCTACCTATCAGAAGATGATGAACGATGCTTGGCATCCGAAGGCGTTAAAACGTCCAACTGCAGATAACATCTTCAAAGAATTAAACAAGTTGGCAAATAATAGACCATTTGAAAGCGGTACTTTCTCTTCTATACTACAAAAATCATCATAGTTTTATGTATATTAAAATTATGTAACTATAGTAGTATTAAATTACACCTGCATCACAATGTGCACCGACAAAAGGAATTGGTTTTGTTTAGTTACTTTACTTTTTAAAAAAAATTTTTTTCAAATTAACTTACGTACGGTATACAGTGTATGTATAGTTTGAGGAAATTATGTTGTCATGATATAAAAATTAATCAGTAACCCAAAAATTGTCATCATAAACTGTTTTTTGTTGCATCTTTCCAAAGATATACAGCGGTTTGAAAAAAAAATTGAAATCATAAATATATTATTTATTTTATAACTATTGCATGAAACTTCAAAA